AATATGTTGCACTTACTATGTCACACACTATAGTTTTCAGTACCACATGATAATGTACTATTACTATATGACAACATTCTCTCACATCAGACTGTACACTTACTGTTGGTCCCCAAAATTTGTATACGTTATTGACTGGAACTGGAACTGGAAGCCTCAGATCTCAGCTTTGGAGTGTGATAGACAGACCAAACTCACAGAAGATATGAGAAGAGAAGAGAAGAGACTACTATTTCACATTATTACTATTATATACATAGTATTATTACTATATCACATCCTATTCCATATCATACTATACTATGACAAAGTCATGTTATTATACTGTATTATTACTAAACCACACAGTGGGCTACATCACACTGCACTATCACTAACTTTATTATAATGCATTATTACTATACCACATTCTGTCTGCATTGTGTGTTCAGTCATTTTTTGACTCTATAAACTCACACTTCGTGGGTTAAAGGACTTTTGGGTATTTAGTGACTCTGTGTATTAGCACTTGTTAAAAAAAACAACTAATGTTCTGTAGAAATCTAAAAATTGTTTATTGTACTAATAAAAACATTTAAAAAATGTAAAATAAAATTGACTGCATTGCGTAAATAAAGAAAATGAAGATACACACAAACTTGTGTTACACACACTATCACAATTCCACTCATTACTGTACTACTTCTATTCATAATATAATTATAAAGCTCTGCTTTACTATAGCACTTAATTCATCATACTGTACTACTGCTATCCCACACCATACGATACTATTACTAAACCGGCTCAGAGTTATGACATCATACTCTACTTTTACTATGTCACAAACTATAGTTTTATAGTAATAATGATAATACACTACTACTATATGACATCATACTACTGTCTCTGTCTCACATCTGCTTACTCTTAGTGTGTCTAAACTCTGTACATTTTATTGACTGGTATTTGTCAGAAAAAATTCTACTTTCATTGATCTTCCACAAATTCACACGGTGGGTTACTGAGGTCAAGACATAAACAGGAGCACACTTCGTTTCATCCTATAACGCTCTATAGCTGAGATCTGAGGCTCAGTTATTTATACCCAGAGCTACTCTAATGATACTCTAATAATATAACCTCACATTCTATTCTATTATACTAACACAATACATCATACTGTACTTTTAATATAACACATAATACAATACTATTACTAAACTGCATTATTATATACTTTTACTGTACCATGTAGTATTATCTTTCAAATACTTCTCACTGTATTATCACTATCACGCATCATAATCCCACAAATGTACCACCCTACATTATCATACTATACCATTTATACATCTTTATACATCTCAGTGTTATTTTATGCTTTACTCTAATACATAATGTATCACTACTCTCCCACTTTGCTATGTTTTTACTATAACATGTCATACTCTAGTCCTACGCTGACATCATACTATACTATACTATACTATACTATACTATACTATTTCTATCCCACATCATCATCTTATACTATTGCAATATGACACTGTTACTATCACTAAATTGAACAAATTGGTGCGTCCAGAGTTTGTATATTTAATTGAGTGTAATTTGTCAGAAATTGAAGCCTCATGTCTCAGCTTTGGAGTGTGACAGACAAACCACAGTTGTGCTGCTGTCTACGTCTCATCCTCAGTAACCAATGGTGCAAATATGTAGAAGATCAGAGAAAGTAAAAATGTTCAAAAAAGGCCAAAAATAGGGGGTTAGTCTTTGTGTTTGTGGGGGAAAGTTTTGTTCTCCTATCTTCCCCAAATTCACACTGTGGGTTTCTGCCATCTATACTTTTGTATAGATAGAGACGTCACCATCAACTTTTACAAACTGATAATGATTAGTGTGATAAGAACTGAGACAGGAAAGAGCCATTCACTTAACTCCACCAGCATGCTCTTGTCTGTCTAGAAGAATGTCATCTGTGTCTTCAAAAGCTGCAGTGAGCTTAGGTATTAACAGCAAGGAGAAACAGCCCTGATCACAGACCAGTACTCTGTCATTTACTATTTTAACCAGCGCTATCTCAGTACTGTAATAAATCCTGACTGAAATACTTCACATATGATTACTATACACATATGAAATTATCTGTTGAGCTACAAACGTTTACAGGATCTGGGGGATAAGTTTGCTATAGTCTCTAAATCTAAAAGAATATTATAATGTGATATTCTAGTGGTGCAGGGATGAAGTGGAAGTTATTGTTGCAAACACTGCTGTGAATTTGAAAAGCCAAAAGAAGGTAGTTGACGTGAGCAGACCTGCAGGCAGTCTATCTGTCCCTCTGTCTATCTCTCTATCTGTATGAGTAACTGCTGGCTCTTACCTGTCTGGCTTTCTGGCTCTTTTTCTCAGGATTTCAGCAGACTGTTAGCGTAGGACATTTAGCCGAAACTCTGACACCTACAGATGGAACAGTTCTGTAATGGTGAAGTGTGGAACTGGTGACAGAAACGCTGAGCCACGAGAGAGAGAGAGAGAGAGAGAGAGAGTTCAGAGGAGTTACAGTGAGACAGATGTGTCGAGAGAAACGTCTACAAAATTAGTCATCCACAAAAAAAAAATTAAATAAATCTAATCTCTCCATCTGCAGCAAAAGGAGAAAACTTCTTTTTCCTGCCTCGAGCCCAGTAGATATCTTTCCAATAAAAAGTGCAGTTTCTCTCTTTTTAAAAAAAAAAAAATAAGAGAGAGGAAGGCCAGAGAGCTGCAGTGTGTCTCCTCTAATAAACACTCACAGCTCCGAGCTCTCCTTCATTTCTAATGTAATAAATAGTCGACCTCCAGCAATAAATCAGACAGAAATGGATAAAAATGAACTGCAGTGTGATGGAGAGGCTCGGAGTGTAGTTACAGTGTGTGTGTGTGTGTGTGTGTTACTACATTAAACAAAATATTTAAACAGGTCCTCCCTAAACAAATGCCACGCCCACATTATCATGTTGGTGCTGGTTATTTTTTGCCCCCTTGTTTGTTATGCAGTGAAGATTACGCTTATTAAACACTCAGGAATATCAGATCTGATGTAGCAGAAATCACGCATCACTCACGGCTCTGTAGCCTCACACTTAAACTTGTCTTTATTAGCACCACCTAAGCTTTCTGCCTGAATAAAGGATGTAAACATTAATGAAATTACAAATGTAATTTTAAAAGTAGTCTTAAATCATCTCAAAATAATTAAACTGTGGTGAAATTTCAGACCTCCGAATGCATCAAATCCAAAGCATAATGCAAAGATTTACTGTTCCACTCTTTAGACATTCATCATTCTTCAAACTTTGTGACACATCTCAGAGAAATAATAAAAAATTACAAAAAAAAGAGTACCTCAGACGTGCGCACATGAAGAAGAGTGTGAGCTGTAATATAGATTTTATTTTATTTGATTATTCTGCAGTAATTGGAAACAGGTGGAGCTGGGAGTGTGTTATATATCAGGTTATTTATCTCTGTTTCACTCTGTGTGTGTGTGTGTGTAAGGAAGACAA